TAACTTTCAAAGGCCATAAATCGCTAGAATTCTGTTGTTTAGTAATACATTTGACATCCATAAGACTAGTACAATTTCTTACGCTGAATCGAACGGTGGTATTTTTCTCCTTATTGGGAGCATAAAACCAGAGATAAGGCGCAGCAAAAAGTCCATAGGCGTACCGGTCGGGCAATTTTGGGTTGTTATAAAAAAAAATCGGACAAATTCTGTCAATTTTTTCGAAAATGTAGTAAATTTAGTGGCAAATGTAGTGTTTTTTGGAAAATTTATTTGATGCTGCGAAAAATTTTGGTATGTCCGGAAAATTTTTTTGACCCCTTAAATGGTACACTGACCGAAAGTTTTTTGGCGACGGGGGGGGGGAGGTCGCCAAAATAAATTTTCCGGAATAAAATTTTTGGTACTACTCAGGCACAATCACGAAAAGTTGGGCAATTTTACGAAAAGTCGGGCAATTTTCTTTCCGCCCCCCTAATTTTTTCCTTCCGGTATGCCCATGAAAAAGTCTATCGTGAGAGTCCAAGATTAAAATAGAAAAGAAAACTTTGCTCGAAAAACGGAATTCGGAAAACGTGAAGGATTATATTTCAGAGTGGCTTGTCTTTAATGGACCATTTGCATTATAGACTAAATTTTGATCTAGACAAAAATTTCATCACAGCTTGAAAGAGCATCACAAATTTAGTAATATTCCAAAGTTTCGTTGCGAAATGTTGTAAAATGCGGATAATATAGCCTTGCGAAATTTGCAATTTTCAGTCATTTTGTATTACAAACGGGAAATTGACGCCCCAACACCCGATTGGGCTGTCAATTTCCCGTTTGTAATACAAAATGACTGAAAAACGGCAAACTTCGCAAGGCTATATTATCCGCATTTTACAACATTTCGCAACGAAACTTTGGAATAGTATACTAATTTTGTGATGCTCTTTCAAGCTGTGATGAAATTTTTGTCTAGATCAAAATTTAGTCTATAATGCAAATAGTCCATTAAAAGGCCATAAATCGCTAGAATAGAAATCAATATTGAAATCAATTTTCCATGCATAAATACAACTTTTCACGCTGATTCGAACACTGGTATTGTTGTCCTTGTTTGGCCCATAAAACCAGAAATAAAGCCTTGCAAACAGTCGATCCTGAGAGTACAAAATAAATTAATTTTCCTGAACTTTTCCTGCCAAACTTTGGGCACCGCAATAAGGATTGTGTCAGACTATTATTGCTGCCGCAGCGAGCGAGCCTGAAGCGAGCGAGCAAGGCAGCAGATCCTAATTTTGTTTTGTGGGTCGAAATCAAAATTTTCTATTTGGCGCATTGCATGACGGTACCAGTGAATTTTAACCGTGGTGCAGCGCGGTCAGGCAATGTGATCATGTTTCATCTTTTGTCTTCTTTTATGGAAATCCATCAAACGGCATTTTGTTGGGTGCTTTCAGCATTATACGGCGTTGCTTTTGGCATTATACACGGTGCTTTCGCCATTATACGCGGTGGTTCCAGTATTATACGCGGTGCTTTCACCATTTATATACGCGATGCTTTTGCAATTATACGCAGTGGTTCGAGCACTATATGCGGTGCTTTTAATATTATACGCGATGCTAGCTTTCATTCAACATTATTTCCATATTCTTTCCATGACATGTATATGATTTAACGATTGCTTAAATTTGGTATGTGCATGGTTGACAAATGCTTTTTGCCTATGGTCTGCAAGGACAATGACATGCTTTTCTGTGTATATACATGTAAATGAATATAACGCAACGAATGCGCCAAACAGTATAAACGCGGCTGAAATACGATATTAAAATCTTAAATGTGCCGTATGATTTAATTATGTTTTAGGATTTACAAATGCTTTGTCATTTGTATTTATACTTGTACTGCATCACAAGGCAGTACGTACTGTAAGTGAAAAAACTCCACATGTGAGATTGTCTTGTATATATTTTTGCTTTCTTTGATAAACACTATTAAACACGCAAATTTTAATTAGTGAGACGCAATGTTAAATGTCACCTGCATGTCATTGCCCTTTAACCCCTGGTCTAATTGGCCGCTTTTGAAAATATTGATCATGACGAACCGCACTGCCTTAATTAAATGCAAACTTTGTGTTTTAAAAACGGGTTAGGATAAAACGCGGATACGGACGGACGGATGAATGACGGACGGACCGGACGGATGACATATATATGTCGTTATATAGTCTGCACGCAGCCGCGCAGGGTAGTTAGTGCCTTACGTCTTCGCTGGTTGTTATGCTTTAAAATAATTTTGTATGTACCGAGAAATCAATATTCCGAGTATATAAATATATAAACTGGGATGTCACACTGATAGCTTGTTTACATTTCCTGGAGCATCATGAAATCTTATGTTTAACCACGGTGGTTTAACCCATTAGCTGGCAATGCGCCCTTCCCTTGTCGAGCGCCAGAAGATTTTACTCGTCAGTGGTATAGGGTACTGCCAGTAAATGGGTTAACAAACCTATCTGCCAATGGCTCTTGTTAATTCATCAGCACAGTAATGACCCCACTTTAGTATTTACCCTGTCCAACGCCAGACGATTTTTAATACTCAGTCAGTGGTAGGGTACTGTCAATAAATGGGTTAACAAGGATAACAATAATTAGCCTGCATGGCAGGCGGTATTTCCCAGGCTTGCCCAATTTTAGGAACCGCCTGCCATGCAGGCTAAACAATAATAGGATGTTTCTGAAGGACTCGTTCAACACCCTGTAGTTTGTCTTTTGCTGTCAAAGGCAGCATTACTGCCCTGTGGGTAACCTAGTTTGTAAAATAGAGCCTGATCGCAGGTTACGTTTACACGTGCGTGCCTATTGCGAATTAATCATGGCGGACATACACACTTTAGATTTTTTCTTGTCCATACTGTTTATACATTGACTTTCATTAAACTATGATCATTAAACTAAGTCCATCAAAGGGTTGTTTTCGAATAAAATGAATATGCCTACTACTGCATGTATATTAGAGCGGAGGATCAAAATTGTGGAATTTTACATAATAGTTCAAATGCGGGGCAGAGGACTTTACCGGGATTTCAAAATCGGAGAGCGTCCCGAAAAGGCGAACCGCAGGCGCGAGGAACTCGAAATCCCGGTATGCTTGAGTACTTCAAAATCCCGGTAAAGTCCGAGGTCGAGTATTTGAACTGTTACTTCTAAATTCTAAATTTAATAATTCATGAACCAAACTGTGAATAAAACTGTCTCCAACTACTAGTAGTTTGAATTTTTTCACCATCTGGCCAGGTGCATATAACCTAAAGTCACACACCACTCATGAAACACTTGTCACGAATCATGAAATTTCACGACTTTAACAAGTGCATGGTATACGAATGTCGTGCGCTTACCATCTGCCCAGGTGCATTTATAACGCAAGTCACTATGCCTCTAATATGCTGATCAAATAATGATCCTCTAATATGCGCGTGGCACACGACTTATGAATTTCACGAGTCGTTAAATGCGACAGTATTGGGTAATCATAATAGTATAGTGCTGGGTATGTTTTCTACTGTTGAAGCAATTTTTTCATTTTACGCCTTGTCGTAAACGATAATTTTTAACATTTGCATATACTTATACATAATAATTTCCTTGCTTGTTACAAACTGTTGAATTATATTAGCCAATTATGTATTATAAACGACTACTGTAATTTTAATTTGGAAATGATGCATAATTTAGCATCAAAACGTCGTTTTCGAATAAAATGAGTAATATACCTACTAACTGTTCTTTTTTCATGTACTGTACTATTTTGATTTTCTGGCCTTTATTTTTTAATCAATCATGTACTGTTCTCATTTAGGTGATGTTGATTACGACCGTTTGTGGTACGCGTGTGGAGCGGAGGAATCTCAATTGTGGAATCTTATTTTAAACGCAATAATTAGCGCTATCAAGCAATGCGAAGGTGAGTCATGAGGACATGCTGGAAATGGTGAGTCATGAGGACATGCTGGACATGTGGAAAATTTTATATACATTTATTAGACCTAACCAGGAACAGCTACAAAAAATGCAACTATATATATATATATATATATATATATATATATATATATATATATATATATATATATATATATATATATATATGTATATATATATATATATATATTTATATATATTTTCGGCAGTTCTGCCTTCATCAGTTTATATTACAATTTAACAATGTCTAGCTTTTATAGCATTGGCAGGATCAAAATCCTATACAATGTAAGAATACTATCAGGAATAAGGAATTTAATAAAGCTTTAAAGGTGAATAGGAAAGATTTGTTGCATGCTAAAGTTAAACCTAAAAAGAAGGTTTGTCCCTTTGTGACAGAATTTAATCCTAGGGCTCCTAACAAATTATAAGTAAGCATAAGCACTTGATCTCCACACCTGAGTGGAAAGAAATTTTTCCGGACAAGTCTATAATAACTGCCTACAGAAGGCCAAAAAACCTTAAGGACATTTTAGCAGCATCTAAGTTTGATAAGCAGCATGTGTTGGCGGAAAATCAGAGGCTAGGTTGTTTCAAGTGTAAGCGAAAATGTGATTTGTGTAATAATTTCTTGAAGGAGACTGACTGTTTTAGGAGTTTTAGTACCGGTCGGTCATACAAAATCAAACAAGAAATTAATTGTTGTACCACTAACATAGTTTATTTAATTTCCTGCAAAAAATGCAATGTTCAGTATGTTGGATCCACATCTACTGAATTTAAAGTCCATTTTCGTAACCACAAGTCAGCTATGCTTACGGATAAGAAAGTTTGTGAGATGGCCGTTCATTTTAATGAAAATAAACACGAATTTAAGGATTTGGAATTTGTAGCCATTGAAAAAGTTGACTTAGTGAATGGCGAAAATGCCAATAATCCTTTATTGACCAGAGAAGCATATTGGATGGCACAGCTGTGCACAATTAGCAATTTAGCCCTTATGGCCTCAATAAGAGATCTGAACTTTGATAAAAAAATAGGATCCATTACAAGTTGTAATAATTATTATAATTATAACTTGTAAGCCATATTAGCGATTTCTCAATCTGCTCATTTAACATGAATGGATAATCAACTTTATATACTTAATCAAGCCGTTTGATGCACATGAAGCACATATACAGGTAGTATTTTTGAACAAACGGAGCGTGCATGCATGTATGTACGGTGGTTATTATTCTAGTATTTAGATTTCGTAACTAGTAGGGATATGAGTGTGTGTTGCACTTGCACATTGGACTTGCGTGGACATCATATATGTGTATATTAAATTAAAGCATTACATACCCTAACTTGTGGGGACATGAATGTGATTACACACTGGACTTGCGAGGACGTGAATGTGATTACACACTGGACTTGTGGGGACATCATGAATGTGATTACACACTGGACTTGTGGGGACATCAAATGTGTATATAATCTGGAGGTGTTAATAAGGATGCATACGGCAGCAGAGTACGTTTCCGAGTCCTCGTTAAACATTGCTATTTAAAATCACGAGGTCTTTAGAATCACGGTTTCATCTTGTCAAGTATTGAGTTTTCATAAAACCCATACTACAGTATAATTATTTTACACAACTATTACTGTGGAAACTCATTTTCAGTTGTGGATGATAAATTATTATCACACAAGTTCCAAGCAATATATACATTTCCCACGTATTGGTTAATACACGCCATTGGAAATACTTCACAAAGGACACTGTATTTGTGTGATACTTTCAAATTTCAAATACTTTATTATTTTCAGTTGAAACCTTGTTTGGGTAAATGGAATGGGTAAATGGTGATGAAAGCACTGAGGGATCATTTTATTGCATATCTGGCTTACTGGACTCAGTTGGACAGGTAATGAAGTAACATGTGCACGTGATAATATGTTCCCTAGAATTATAGCATGGAAGGATGATTATTGTACATGTAGCCACATGGCTGCATGGCAAACCAAATTTCTGCATGATCAGCCAACAATATAAAGATATTTTTGTACAAAATAGCAATCATCAATCCTATTTAAAGAAACATGATTCATATATATATGTGACAGGCTTCTAGCCCAGACTGAATTATACAAAGAGGTAAATACGCATTACCAATTGGTAATGCGTATTTAACACCGTATACTTGTTATGTATAACTGCACTTACCTTACCTACTGTATGGATGACCAAACAGATCTATTGTGACATTGAGCAGTTTCAAGTTAAAATGATAAAGGTATTGCAATATTATATAAGTCACAGGTAAAGTGGTTCCTAAATTTGGGCCAAATGATCATCAAAAAGCAAGCTTGAAATTCATTTTATCTGTTATTAGTTGGCCAAAAAGACACTGCCATACATTCTTGAAATATTACTTGAAACGAATGGTGGGATTATATAGCTGGGATATAGGTTTTGAACACCTGTTGTTTCGCGAGATTTCTAATGTAGAATTCACAAAAACGTGAATTATTGCAGCTACCAAGTTTGAAATAAAACAACTTGTAGTATCTCTTTATCAAGAAATTTTCAAAACTCACGTTTTTTCAAAACCGGAAGTGCGGTAAAAACCTGAACTTTCGGATTTCGCGTTAGGTTTATTGCTCACAACAAAATGATAAGCTGGGGCATAATTATCGTGTCAATAATCTGTGCCTAAACATTCTGTCCACTGAATAACGTTTGCACCTTCATTCCTGACACTACGTGCAGCAATTACCCTGAGGTCCTGTACAGCCTTTAGACCAGATAAAGTTGAGACCGCTGGGAATGACGTTCGCAGGCACACCAGACAAGATAAAAGTTTCTTGCAGGCACATTTTCTAAAACTTTTAGAAGCAAGATAAGGAATAAAATTATCTTATTCATAATGTTTAGTGTAGTAAGACCTTTGTTAATTGGTGCACTTGCAGGTTAAAATCTCTGGAGATTTCGGTCCATCATTGTTCGCAAAAGTCTGGACTGACTGGACGGCTTCAATCATTTGAACTTTGAACTTTCTAAAGTCATTGATGGAAAGTTATAGAGTCTAAATTCCCATTCGTAGACAAATACCTTTAGTCGTTTTTATTGATAGTAGTTAATTTCCATAATAGATCTGAGTCAGCCGAGGCCCATGATGTACTGATTTCGCTTTTTTCATGCACATATTTTTGAGGCACATTTTCAGATAATGTTTGCGGTCTAAGGCACACAAAAAAATTATCGATCCCTGCTTTAGACTACTAATAATTTTTCTTATACCTAATTTCCTAATAGATATGTGCACAACATCATATACTGTATGCTGGGATTTCTTTATACAGCCTCATCAGATCTTGTGTCCAGAAAATCCTGCGGGGGCAACAAAACAAGATGATTGTCTCTATGCAACTATCCTTCAGACAAAAACTTGCCAGTGCCTGCTAAAATACAATGCTACTGTAAATCTTGCATATTGAAACTTCAATTCAATTCTTTAATAGTGATTATTTTTGTATTTTCAGCTCCTGGTTTCATATCATGCAGCAGTTGAACAAGTGCTGTTCTTCCTGTGGATCTGGTATTCGACAGTAAACATGCAAGTAAGTATTGTGTAGAACTGTCAGAGTTAGGATTCGAGTTGGGATTTGATTGAAAATAGAGCATTTTGAAATTATGTGGGCTTTGGTACAAAAACAAAACTTTTAGTTGATAAAGATCGTGTCTGCAGGCAATAAGTACAATCTGTTTGATTATTTGAAGACACTATTTTATAATTTCAATGATTTATTTAAACATATAAGAACTCATACCAGATAAGAACTTAATATATTTTTAACCTCGATGGCATATCAAATCTAAAAAAATCCATGGATCTTTTGTTATATAAGATTGTTCATCGTTACTCTCAAGTGCGTTAGATTTTCGGAATTATTCTCGTTTGCCTTGAAATTATACAATTAACTGCAGTAAGTTGTAATTATCTTCTAATCCATTCATTTTTTCAGTTCGTTGATAAGTATACACGCTGGCAGCTTCAAAAGGCTCATTCCAAACACAGTGCTGAAAAGTGACCAATAGAAATAGTTCTTGCTGATTTGGTGTATCAAGTTTGTCTTCTACACATCGCAGCTCAATGTCAGACAATCTACACTCTTTTCACGTTGAAGTATTCCAGTCCGTATGAAGTGGATGTTCGTTATATTAGGCTCTTCGGTTGGGACTGTCCCTTGGTCATCTGCGTTTTCCAACAATAAAACTAACTTGGTAACTGAAGGTTTGAGAGTCGAGGACGTCGTCTTAACCCTTGCAAAGTGAACGAATGCGTAACAAATGCTGAAAGTCAAACACTACCTTAGTAACTTGTGGCAATAGATAAAACAAGTGTTATAGGAATTGTACAAATGGTTATAATTTGGCGTTTCCAAACTCTACTCATGAAAAGGAAATGAATGATGACACGGAAATGATGACAAAGATACTACATGTATTGTTTTCTTTTGTTATTCATACCCTGCATTCTTCAGACCTCTTTAACCTGTCTTTCTGCTCATCAGATTGCACTGTACTTCCTTGATCATCTTAGATCTGTCAAGCTGAATCTTATTTCTCTTCGGCCAACGAAGAAATCTGAGAAAAGAACCTGTTTCTTGGGTATTTGTGTGATTCGAGATAAACGGCTCTGCTTCCTAAAAAGAAAAAGATATGTAAATCCACAACTCCTGTGTTCTTTGCGGGTATTCCTCACAGCAAGTGCAACTTTTTCATGAATGAGTAGTTTGATCAGTTCTGTAACATGTTCTTTCCTTGGTAGAATAATCGAATGTTTCCTTTCGGTCGTAACTTTGTCTCATCTGTGTAACCTGCCTTCGACACGAAAAAGATAGAGAAATTTCATGATTACATCCAGCCGATGATCCACGACATTATTTCTTGATTTCTTTTTATTGTTACGAGATATCTTTACTTTGTAAGTTTACAACGAGGACGAGGCTAGGTTGCTCTGTCTTTTGCGTGCACATGTAGTACTGGGTGCATATTGTACTGGGTATGTTTTCTACTGTTGATGCAATTTTACATTTTACGCCTTGTCGTAAAGAAAAATTTTAAAATTTGCATGCTTACGTAATAATTTCCTAACTTGTCCCGGACCGTTGAATTATATTAGCCAATTATAAATTATAAACGACTACTGTACTTTTAATTTAAAAATGATGCATGATTTAGCATCAAAACGTCGTTTTCGAATAAAATTAAATATATGCCTACTAGTTTTTGAAATTTTTTTTATTTTTAATATTTCGTCTCGCTCGTTTTGTTTCGTTTCGCTTTTTTATTTTATTTTACACAGGCCTTTCTGTTTTGTATCATGTATTGTATTCATTTAGGTGATGTTGGTTAGAACCGATTGTGGTTCGTGTGTAGAGCGGAGGGTCGCAATTGTGGAATCTTACTGTAAATGCAATAATTAGCGCTATCAAGCAATGCGCAGGTGAGTCATGAGTCCAATTTGTAATATCGTTTCATTGTGATACACTCCTTAGTGAGTGCAATGTGATTGTGATTGTAATTACACACTAGACGTATAGGGACATAATATTTGTGTATATTGATGTATTTACATTCCCTGACTTGTGGGGACATGAATGTGATTACACACTAGACTTATGGGGACATTATATTTGTGTATATTGATGTATTTACATTCCCTGACTTGTGGGGACATGAATGTGATTACACACAATACTTATGGGGACATTATATTTGTGTATTTTGAGTTATTTATATTCCCTGACTTGTGGGGACATGAATGTGATTACACACTAGACTTATGGGGACATTATATTTGTGTATATTGATGTATTTACATTCCCTGACTTGTGGGGACATGAATGTGATTACACACTAGACTTATGGGGACATTATATTTGTGTATATATATTGAGGTATTTACATTCCCTGACTTGTAGGGACATGAATGTGATTACACACTAGACTTATGGGGACATTATATTTGTGTATATTGATGTATTTACATTCCCTGACTTGTGGGGACATGAATGTGATTACACACTAGACTTATGGGGACATTATATTTGTGTATTTTGAGGTATTTATATTCCCTGACTTGTGGGGACATGAATGTGAGTACACACTGACTAGATTTGTGATGATATTATAAATGTAAAATGTGGAGCTGCAGGTAAAGTGGATACATACGGCAGAGAACGTTATTTAAAAGTAAGGTTTCGTCTTGTCGAGTATATAGTGTTTTAATAAAATTCATAATATACTATATTTCACACAACTATCAAACTCATTTTCACTTGTGGATGATTCATCATGCGTGGAACGAGTACCAAATGATAGATATATTCTGTGCGTCCATTATTGCAAACCATTGAAAGTACTTCACAAAAAACACTACATTTATGCGATACTTAACTTGTGGGGACACTACATGTGTGTAATATTTATGGGGACATCACGTGTGTGTAATATTTGTGGGGACAGTCTGTGTGCGTAATATTTGTGGGGACAGTGTGTAAATACTTGTGGGGACACCATAAATTGTAAAAAATATTTAAGTAGGATTGTAGCATAGTTTTTTGTGGGTAATTAACTATCAATTTCCACATCTAGACTATAAAAATGTTGCAGTAAATTTTACACATATTTGTGGGGACACTTTTACACACTTCTCCAACTTACTTGTGGGGACACTATGAAAAAATATTGAAAAAATGATTTTCCACAAGTTTTATCTCTATTTCAGTCTTTTTAGCGTTCGATCTACCTACAACCGTTAGTAAAATTAACATATCTATTGTTTTTCAACTATTTTTATCCACTTCAACTTGTGGGGACACCAAAAGTGTCCCCACAAGTCAAGTGTCCCCACAAGTCAGGTGTGTTTTCTGGTTCATGTCCCCACAAGTGAGTGAAAACACACACACACACACACACACACACACAGATGAAGAAATTGTACGATCTAGGGTAGTTGCTTATTTTGAAGAACACTGCGCTAATTTGAAGTAATCACGTATTTCTTAGGAAAAATTCAGTTTGACATTTAGAAAGTTGAGAGTGTTCACTCAACTATATATTTGATGAATTTATAAATCGTCATTATGCTGTCCCTTTTCGATTGATCTACATTAAGACCAATTTGGATTTATAGGTAAAAAAATAAAGACATGCCAAGGAAGCAGTATAATTTAAGCGGCTAGCTTTAGCTATAGCTCTAGCCCTGCCGATTTTTTTGCTTTCAGATAATTTAATGTCAAACGAACACTTTGTACATCGATCAATGGAAATTCGAATCTCGTCTAAAGTGTTTCTTACCATGGGAGAATTAAGTGACTGCAAGTCACAATGATTTGTCGACTCTCCAATAAGTTCTGAGTCAGTTATAACGTTATCATACACTTTTTATTATAAGAGGTTTATTTTTCTTTTCCAGCAATTATCTAATCAAATACCAGGATTTTTTATGTCTTTGGTATACTTACGGTTACGAATTGTGTTAGTATAAAATTCAGATTTAATTTTACGCGTATAAATATTAACTAATTCATAGAGTTTTTTATTTCCGTTTACCGAAGTATAATTCATATATTTTTACGCGCATGCATGCTTACCATTTGTCACTATAATGACTGAAGACGCCTGGCTAACCTCGTCTCTCTATATTCTCTTCAGCTGTGGTAACTTACATTCTGAAGAATTGTTACACGAATCCTGGATTGAGACGCATGGTTTCATTTTATTTCCGAAATGTAATGCGTATTGGTCCATCGCAGTAGTTGGGTTTAGCTGGTATAATGTGCGCACGAGCCGAATCGGTCTAACAACAGATCACAATAATCGGTTTCATTTCATCGTGGACACAATTGCCTGCACATATATGTCAACGTGCGATTTGGGGGTTCAATTGGGCCATCTCATCAAGAGGGATATGCTCTCGAACGTGTTTTAGTTATGCATGGCCATGATGTTACAAATGTCGAACATCAGGCTTTTTTATTATTATTTTTTATTATTTTTATTATTTATTATTATTATCTAAATATATTTAAACACGGTGGCCTTTCACTTGTGTGAATTTCAAAGGTTATTATTGATCCGACTGACATGCAGAGTTTTGCACGGTTACCCATCTTGATAATTATATTTTCCTGAGCGTATACATTTAATTTATTTGCACGATTGCAAGAAAACAGAAAACCAATGGAACTGATACCTTTTATGAAGACGTATAAACCAATCGGCCATATCTTTGTTGTGTTAATTTTTTACATTGTTCTGTTCATTTTATTGTCAGGTTTCTCGATATAGCAAGACGATTTTCAACTTAACCTATGGAACGAACAATTATCTAAGCGTATGTACCATGCTTACAATATTTTATTAGACTTTTAGACGAACGGTTCAACGACGAACAGCTAACCGCAAACCGCAGTTTGCGGGACAGTCGTACTTGGCCAGCCGCGTCTTTAATTAATAACATCGAATGTTTTCGACATTTAAAATATGAATTGGTACCATTATTATTAGACATTTAAAATACGAATTGGTACCATTATTGGTTATTTGACATTTAAAATATGAATTGGTACCTAAATTAGGATATATTGGTGAACATAACGCGTTTCCATTTTTATGGGTTTGTTGCATGCACTACGATACGTTTAATTTAAATTAACATCGGGTCGTCTTCAAACGCGGATGCTGAAACGGAATTTGTGAACAATATCTTAATCATAAATCGTAATTAATTTACTTCAAAGTTTTCATTTGAGGAATATGTATAGTATTAATAGCCATGGACTATAAGTCATATTTGTCATGACAAAATAATAATAACAGTTTTATAGTAGGCATAAACTATTACAATAATAGTAATGAATATTATACACGAATACTATTAGTAGTCGGGGAATATTCAACAATTAGACAACGAAGCCGAATTGACAACGAGGCTGAGTTGACAACGAGGCTGAGTTGTCTGATTGTTTTAGTATAAACCACATGAACAAAACGAAATTTCTCACTTGATTTTCATGTAAAACAATAACGTTTTAACGAAATGTGCGTTTAAATGGCTTCCTTTGGCGACATTTTACATTACGCCTCGGCTTTGTTGACAACTACTCAGTGTTGCGAACTCCCAAGAATAACTTGAAAAATACAACTTGTGAGTTTTAAAAAAAGTTAAAAAACATGTGGTAAAACAGCATAGTATAAGAGACTGTTATAGAAGCCAAGATTGGTCAATTAAAACTTATTAAGAAGAAGGAAACAAGGTTTAAAAAGTGCAAAATATCGAACATAAAATGGCTTCCCGAATTGTTACTAAACAAGACTCTCGAAAGAGCGTTGACTCGCTGGGGCTAATGTAGCCTGCGAACAGGCTCACTGGGTGAAAGGTGAGCCTGCACGGAACCATGCGTTTTATTCAATCATCCCCTTTTCGCATCTGCTAAACGCGAACCAATCAGCGTCGACTGCGATAAATAAACTATCAACTGTCAAATTGACGCAAGGCGTGTACATTGTTCAACGAAGAAATACTGAATATTAAAATGTATACATAATTATATGTGAACAATAATACAAAGCATTAGCGGGCCGCTCAAAATATCACTCGGAAAAATATAGAATTCTTCAAATATTAAATAGATATCAATACACATACACATACAAATATAAAGCCGAATAAAATACTACCATTGGCATTGAATCAATGTACAGTAATACTTGTCTATGCGCGACTCAGAACAATGTTCTGAATATTTGAAGCTATTACTAAAATACGGTCAGATAGATTGGGATTTGGAATACCGAATACGTCTAAAATTTTACTAACTGTGGTCTAAATAAATGATAAATGAGCATGTATTTATTAATTTCTTCGAAATCACGAATGTGCCAATAGTGGAAGCATAGTGGTGGAAGCCGCATTGACGACGAAATTTTCAGCAGTTTATACAGGGCAATTGCTAGATAGTATACTTCAAAATAAGGTTTCCGTTTTTATATCAATTTTTAAAATAATTTAAATAAGTTAGGGTTAGGTTAGGTTTTAGGTTAGGGTTAGGTTGGGGTTAGGGTGAGGGTTATTATTAGGGTTAGGGTTCAGTTTTGCGTTAGGATAGTTTTTTCTACGTTATAAAAACGGAAACCTTATTTTGAAGTATACTATCTAGCGATCACCGTTTATACAGCAAATAGTACAGCGTTTAATGTACGATATATATTTATATCTAAGTGACATGCCAGAGAGGATCAACAATATAATTATTCGTACATATTTGGGTATCTTTTGTATAGTGATATATTGACTTGCACTGACTTGCTCACTAATTAGAATACCTAGACATATACTGACATATACTGACTTGCTCACTAATTAGAATAATCCGTGAAGCCACGACGACCTCAAAATGTACTATACTATAGTCTGATGTCAATCCGAAGACGAAGTTCAGAATACTGTTATAGTTTCGTATATTGGATTTAAGCGATAGATTCAAGTAATTTATGAGATAATTTTTGCTGTGATGCTTTGCTATTGCTTTTGGTTTCCATATCTAGTTTTATTTGTTCGATAGTCTTATAATATATACGGGTTATTAAAATGAATAAAGTTCAAATTCTTCAAAATGCTGTTGTTGACATTTGCTATTTTTAGTAATTTTGTCAACGAGTGTAAGCCAATCAGAAGCCTGCGTTTCTATACGAACGCCACTACCAAGAAAACCTATAGTTCCGTGCAGGCCCTCTATTCTTCGCGCCGCCCGTAACCCAGGGCCTGTTCGCAGGCTAGGGCTAATGGGTAGACTTGGTTCAAGTCCGTCTCTCAGCGCAAGCGGTCAAAAGCTAATGGGCTGCCTATAGTGATACACTTGTCAGATCACAGTGATGGTACATTGGTACTACAATCATATGGCCAATTGAACAGTTAATTGTGATCTGTCGCCTGTTGCAAAATTGCGGTGTCCCACCGATTTGTCAAGTTTGGCACCGCTACCTGACAGCAGACGGTTTTGGGGGTGGAGTTTGTTCCGAAACAAATGCTTCCACTGCCTATCTGAAAATTCCTTGCCCGTCTAAATCGCTGACTGAGACCGACTATCTCTGGTTTAATATACATCCAAGTGACCCAACAAGGAAAAAAATACCATCGTTCGAATCAGCGTACGAAATTGTAATTACGGATACCAAACTCATTACTGAACAGCAGTATTCTGGCGATATATGACCTTTGAAAGTCAAGCGAAATTGTACTGATGATAAATGTCACAAATCGCTCTCAAAATTTATATTATTCAGCTATTAAAAATGCAGTACGTTTGCTCCTTGATAACTTTCGTATCGTTGGTTTTCTCCTTTTCGGCCATATACGAATGGATTCGTCTCACTTTTATCTTCATTTTGATAGTATTTTGATCCGACAATTGCTTATTTTGAAGGTTTTAAAGCGAAGTTTTAACCATGTGCGTGGAACAACTGTCCGCCGACAGGAGGAATGTAGCGTATACGATGAAATATAACCTTTACATGTAGCACAGCTTGTAGGCGGAATCGCATGAAAGTTTTATTTGTAAAGCACCGCATTTAGTTAGTACTGTGTCTGGTCTACTCTGTTCTTACAAAAGCATAGTTAGCACTTAATTAGCAGTCTTATATCGAGTTTATATTTCATACAAGACCATACAATTGTTCCTGTGCATCGCCATCGGCGATCGCTGTCTCTTACTTTGTAATTTGTATTTCTATTTTTGTCGGGCTATAAGATGTCATTTTGACCGCTTAACAGGATTTATTTGGCATTAACACATCTCCAAATTCATTGTTCTTGTCGTTGAATCCTCAATGCAGTAGTTTTAAAAGAACGTAAACATGTTCATACTGGTTAAAATAAACAGCAGCTTTGGCTTTTTTAGTAATATTCTTGAATTTTTCTCAATACTTAGGGTTATTTATGGATAATTTGGGTAAAAGTAGGTAGCTCATTAGTATTCTATTTTGTGGCTATCAATCGGAGAAAAATCAGAGCCGAAACCTATACTCGCCAGGGCACAGGTGCC